CGGCGCTCGCCTCGCGCCTCCCTCCCTCCCTCCTCCCGCCCCTCCGGCCTCGGCCTCCTATTGGCTGCGGGCTTCGTCCCTCCGACCGCAGCCCGGCAGGCCCCCGCCAAGAAGGAAGTCCCGCCCAGCGAGCGGCCGCCCGCGCCCCCGATTGGCTCGGCCAACTGTCAGTTGGGGCGGCGGGCCCGAGTCGGCTGCGGGGGCCCGCGGTCGGTGCGCGACCCGGGCTGGCGGTGGTTTCCGGTTCCGCGGGGCTGGCGGGCGGGCGGCCGGGAGCGGCGTCGGCGGCGGCGCCTGACAGACAATGAGGGCGGTGGGGCGGCGCTGAGCGGCGGCGGCGGCGAGCGACGCGGGGCCCGGGGGCGGGGCGGGGCGCCAGCCATGGACAATCAGGTGAGGAGCGGCCGCGCAGCCCCAGCGCAGCCCGCCCGGCCCCCTCCCTCCCTCCCTCCCTCCCTCGGCCCGCCCGCCCGGCCCTCCTCGGTCCCGGCCTCCCCGCCCTCGCTCCGCGCCCGCCCGCCCCGCTTTGTGCTCGCCCGCAGCTCCCCGGGCCTTGCGGTGGGGCGGGGGCGCCCCTCCCCCACCCGCGACCCCGGCCCGGCCGGAACGCCTCGGATCTCTTTGGGGGTCCGGAGTCTCCTGGGACGACCCCGTTGGGGACCCCAGCCTGGCCCAGAACCGTCCGGGGCGCTTTTCGGAACCCCTGTCCGCCCCAGCACCCTTGAGGATGCCCCTGGGGGAGCCCCGCTCAGCCCAGGACCGCCTGGGACGCCCCCAGAAGCCCGCCCGGGGATACCGGCCTGGTCCTGGCAGCTTGGGGGACCCCTCACCCGCCTCAGGCCGGGCCTGTGCCCCTCTGCCTGTTCGGATCCTGGGCCGGAGTTGTCTGCTTCCCTCTCCCAAACTCCCTGAGCCCCCACCCCGCTACCCCTTGGAACTCGGCTCGGATTTGAGCGCCCCCCCCCAGCCCCTAGGACCCACCCACCCTCAGCCGCCTTGGCCCCGGCTCTCTGGGGCCCCTCCTGTTCAGCAGGACCCAGGGGCTCCCCACTGTCCCCTCCGTTGGGCCCGGGTTTGCGTCCTCAGCCTTTCTGACCTAGGGCTGCTGCCTGGGGCCACCTCTGGTGTCAGGCCTCGGTCATTCGCCCCGGGACCCCGGCGCCCCAAGGGCCGTGTCGCCTTCAGAGCCTCCTGGACCAGGGGCAGTGTCTTCCCTGGAGCCCCCAGCCCTTCAGACCCCCCATGCTTGCTGTTCCCTCTCTGCTGCGGGGGTCCTGAGATGCCCCCTTCCTTGCATTTGACCCCGTTCTAGGTCTCCCAGCGCAGGCCGGGGACCTTACCTGCTCTGGCTTCACAGTCCTGCAACCTCCCACTTGAGCTCAGCACCCGCTGCCCCGTGAGTCTTTGAGCCACTGCTCTCCCACCCTCCACCTCGTGTCCCCCCCCCGCCCCCCCGCCCCAGCGCCCAGAGCATCCCCTACCTCCCTAAGGGCTCCTGTTGTCCCGCCCTTGCTGGGCCCTGGCACCCCCGGCCCGGCACTCAGCTCTGAGCCCCTGCCCCTTGCTGCACCCACGTGGGCTCATGGCTTCGTCCCCCCTCCCCGGCTGTGGGGGCACGGGCCAGGGAGGGCGTTGTGGGGCTGTGGGGGTGGCAGCTGAGATCTGCGCCGTTAGCGAGGTTAGCGAGGGCAGGTCGGGGCGTCCCTGGCTGCTGGCGCCAGGGAGGAGGCCGAGTCTGGAGAGGCGCTGTGTGGTCTTGGGATGGGGGGTGGGGGGGGAGGCGACCCCATCGGCCGCCTGCAGCCCAGGGTCATCAAGGCAAGGGGGTGCTTCCGGCACCCACTCACGGCGGGCTCCCGTTCGGCTTTGGTGTCGCTAGCCTTTCTCCCGGGAGGTAAGGGTGGCTTTGTGGCAGCTGTTTGGTGGACGTCCTGGGACAGGACAGAGCTTAGTGCCTCTCGTCTGGTCCCCACTCCCCACCCCTCGCTCCTCAGGGGCCCTAGGCCAGAGGGCGTCCGTTCCCCTGTGGCGTGCTGGGCCCCCAGCCGCAAGGTGGCTGCCACCGTGGGAAGCTGATTGACGAGCGATGGTGGAGGCCCTCGGGGGCTGTGTCTGCCTGCACCGTGCAGTGCGGCCGCCCGGCACCGCGGCTGGTTCAGCTCTGGGCTAACCAGAGTGGAAAGTTTGCTTCCTCGGCTGGCCCAGCCGCTTTGAGGTGCTCGGTCACCCCTGCTTCTGAGCCGCTGGCTGCCTCGTGGGACAGCATCTTCACCACACGTTCCACCGGGCCTCGCTGACCTTGGCCCCTGAGGACGTATTTGGCGAGAGCTGGGTCCCCGGGGTGGGGGGGTGGGGAGTGGACCCAAATTCTGGGTCACCTTTCCCAGCTGTGTTCTCATGCAAACTTGGGAGGGGCCCAAGCACCCTGCCCCTTCCTGGGAGCTGAGGCCCCGAGGGGACCAGGAGAGAAGGATGAGAGGATGATGTCTTTCCCCCGCGGGTGGACAACGCCGTGAGCACGGCAGAACCTCAGCCGTCCCTGCCCCCTGAGGTGCCGCCAGCCTTGCCCTGCCTTGTCACGGCAGGAAGGCTTGGCTCTCCGGCGGGCACCTGCCGGCTTTCCCAGCCTGGGCGTCTCCTGTTTGGCCTTTCTCTTTCTCTAGAGCTTGCTGCTCCAGACGCACTTGCTCTGGGCTTCCAGTTTGCCGGCGACGGTCGGCATCTTTCCCCAGGCCGGGAGAAAGGCTCTGTGATTCTCTGTGCCCCGGCCCTAGCCCACACGCTCGGTCCCCTGCCCCTGCCGGTTGTGCCTGCGAGGGGTGGGGTTAACCTCCAGGACTGAGGTGGGCAGGGGAACTGGGATGTAACACGGATGAGGATTGTGCAGACTGGGAGCAGTGAGCCACTGGGGACCCGGCTTGCTGAGGGAGCAGGCAGGTGTTGCCTAGATTTCTCCCATCACAGAGGGCCCCGGCCTGGCAGCCGGGGCGGGCAGCAGTGACGTCGGTCAGACTGTTGGGCCGCTGCTTGCCGCTTCTTGAGACGCTCTCTGAGGTGTGGGTGTGAGGGCAGCACCTTAGAGGAGGCTCGTGTCTGATGGCAGTGCCCGCCCCCGCCCCCAGCCGCCCATTCTACAGATGTGGAAATGCAGTCGAGGCCTTGGGACTCCCCAAGCCCTGCCTAGGAGGGCTCAGAGCTGCCCAGCGCACTCTCTTGCAGGGTGACCCATCGCCCCACTCCCACTTCTAGAACTATTGCCCAGGGAAGGCAGCCTCCCCCCCGCCCCGGTCCTAAAATTCCTATATAGTAAAGTACTTAAGGCCCAGCCAGCCCAAGTCCTGGTTCCCTTTATGCCTGTCAGAGTTTCTAATGCAAAGTTTTGCACCGATTTTGCCAAGCATTGGTTAAGTGAAGGCAGCCAGGCAGCAGACGCCGTGACTGGGGTTGTCCACATTCAGGGAGTCCCCCAGATGCTCCTAGGAGAATGTGGGAGACCCCCAGCACACTGCTGACACAGATACCCCGCCGCGGGCTCCCGTGGGTTAGTCCCCAGGAGCCTGAAAGCGCTAAGGGCTGTGGTGTGTTTGCATGGCCACGTGGTCTGTACACTTTGCCTGGGCTCACAGAGAGAAAGAGTGGAGCCCCCGTCGTCTCTTTGTCATAAACCTTGTGCCGCAGGTTGGAAGAACAGGGGCATATGAAGCCAGGGGAGCAGTGGGGGTGCTGGGTGGCAGCCCCCGGGTGCTGGTGGTGAGAATCCTGGACCTCCCGCGGCCGTCAGCATGTACCCCGGCCCCTGGCCCTGTGCCCGTCCTGGCCCAGTAGCAGCCTTTCCCCATCTTTCTCGCACTGTAGCCGGCAGCTGCTCTCGAGAGCCTGGCCGGGCCTGGAGGGAGGCGCTGTCAGTTGCCTGGTCTTGTTTTGCCTTCCCTGCGAGGTCAGGTGGGACTTCATGGCCCGTGGAAGCTGGCGAGGGCAAAGCCTGCAGTGCCTTCTCCCCATGGGAGAGGCGGGGTTGGTGCACTGGGAGGAATTTGATGTGGGAGCCCGGGCATGATGCCACCGCTGGGTAAACCGCGGACCCCAGAGGGAAGGCCGCCTGCTGCAAGGAGCTCCCAGCAGAAAATCAGGCCGTTAAAGACCTGCCTTCTGGGGCCCAAGCGTGGGCAGGGCTCGCGGGAAGCCGGGAGGAGTGCGTGGAGGGAAGGGCCCTGGGTGGCGGAGAGCTTCCGGAACAAGGCCATCTCTCCTTTCTCTTGGCCAGTGAGGGCAACCCACCGGCATCCGTTTGTCTGGTTTGCAGGGCTGAGGATTCCAGCCTTTGGGTTCCCAGTGCCCTGTGCCAGCTGGCCTGGAGGGAGGGCAGTGTCCCAGCTGAGGCCTCTGCCCAAGCTTAACTGTCCCCAGATGGCCTGCGGAGCCCTTGGGCCCCTCCAGCGGTCCGCTGACTTTCCCAGAGTACGAGATTCGCTCTCTCCAGGGCAGGTGCTTGTGGTTGAGCCGTGGGCAGCAAGGTGGTCCCCCGGAGGTGCGGGCAGACGGCAGCCCCTGAGGCTGAGCCCCCAGTGTGGCTCACAGAGGTCCTGTCTGGTCGCGGCAGCAGGTGATCCTGGTGCCCTGGAGGATCCCGCTGGGTGGAGAGGCTGGGCCACAGCCACTGAGCTCCCTGCGCAGCCGAGCCCCCAGCAGCCGCTTAGCCCGGCGCCTTCCCTGAGAAAGCCGGTCAGTTAGCTGCAGCTCCAGGTGGAGTCGAGGAAAGCGGACGCAACCCTTGGCTGGGGGCCGGGCCGGGCTCCTCTGCCATCGTGGTTGGAATGAGCACGGCTGGCCAGCGCTCAAGTTCCCGTGCGTCTCCAGCTGATGCCGCTGGAACGTCTTAATGAATGAGCGCGTCCTTCTTTGAGATGGTGGCACTGAATCCGTGTCGCAGACGTGTCTTGACCTCAGACGATTCCAGCAGCTGGCAGGGAAACGCTCCCCTCCTGGGGGACACTTGGGGTGCAGGAATCTGGGCCGGGAACCTCAGCTCTGTCGACCGAGCCTGCGGCGTGCCCTCAGCTAGTGTGGAGGCTGAGGCTGGCGCCAACCCCCGGGACATACACATTGCCCGGGTGGTGCTTAGGGCGCAGCCTGGCGTTGGGAAGGTTTCCCTCGCCGTCGCCTGGGGCCTGTGTGGCATGGTTGTGGCACTCACATCCTGCCGGCTCCGGTGGAGCCGTGGTCTCTGTTGGTTCACAGCCGCTGCTCCGCCGCCTCCGTGGTGTCAGGATGCCGGGAAGTCTGCCGAAGGCTGGGCGTTGGGGTCGGTGAGAGTGATCCTTCTCTCGTGGAGCGTTGGTGGCGTTGCCGTAGTGTCTGTCCACTCCCCCACCCCCCGTGCCCTCCCAGTGTCCAGGGAGGTCCGGAGCGGGAGGCTGGGGTGTGTGAGCGCGCAGGACGGATTCTGTCCGTCAGGGATGATGTGGGTTTTTCTCCAGGACTCTCCGTGGGCAGCGCTCCTGCAGGAGATGCTGTGGTCGCCTTGAGTTGTGCAAGCTCTCCCAGGCGCGGAGCCCCCTTGTCTCTACGTGGGGCCGGGTGTTTCCGCTGGAAGGTTCCCTCCGTCCCTGGGATTTGTGGGCGCCCTCCTCTCCCGTGCTGCCCCCCGTGCCGTCCCTGTCACAGTTGCCATCCCGGATGCATGGATCCCGCGCTTAGCTGGGTCTCCCCCATCTTTGGGTCTGGCCAGCTCCCCCGCGTCAGGCTCTGTTGAAGTTTCTTTCCAGCCACTCACTCTGCCTCTCTCCCAGTATTGGTGGACTTTCTGTCCTTGTCGCCCCTCGGTCCAGACCGTACGCAGATGGCCGAGGCTCCCCTCCCCTAAGCTTCCTCGTGGCCCATCCCTCTGTGACTAATCTGCATGCTCCCTCCCACCCCACCCTGCACCCCACAGTGTCCCTGTCCCAGGTGCCACCCGTGCTGCTTCCCCGGGGAGCCCTGAGCCAAGGGCGCTCCTCTGCCCTCTTTGTTTTGTTTTATTTTTAAAGATTTATTTATTTATTTATTTGAGAGGCAGAGGCAGAGAGACAGATTTTCCATCTGCTTGTTCACTCTCCAAATGGCTACAGTGGCCAGGGCTGGGCCAGGCCGAAGCCAGGAGCCAGGAGCTTCCTCCCAGTCTCCCGTGTTGGTGCAGGGGCCTAAGCACTTGGGTCCCCTTCCACTGCTTTCCCAGGCATACTGGTGAGGAAGCTGGATTGCAAGTGGAGCAGCTGAGACCTGAACCCGGCATCCATACGGGATGCCAGTGCTGCAGGCGGAGGCTTAGTCTACTATGCCACAGCGCCGGCCCCACAATGTCTTCTTTTAAATGCAAGCTGTGTGCTTCTGCCCCATCTGTTGTACCTGGCTTGCTAGGTGCCAAGGATTCCCCCAGCCCCTGTCGTGGAGCCACTCTGTGGTCCTCTCCACTAGGTCGCTTTCCCTCTCCCTCTCAGAAGGCTCTCGGGTGGTCACTCTGATGTTGCTGACCGAGGCTGCCAGGGCACGTGGGATGCAGTCCCTGTTCCCATAGACTCCACAGGGGCAGGGCGAGGGGTGCCGGGGCCTGTCTGCAGCCTTCTGAGCGTGCTGGGGGGTCACTGGTTTGAGGCCTGGGGATGAGAAAGCTCCCGGAAGAAAGTTGGACTCATACTGGGTCTCCGGTGAGTGGAATTTGGATCAGCAGAGAGAGGGGCAGAGGGCACCCCAGGCCATGGGTGTAGAAGTGATGGGGGCAGACGGAAGCAGCCCTTGTGGGCTGCTGTCAGACTGAGCCTGGAACGCAGGGTGTGTGCATTTCCTGTGCCTTCTCAGCTGTGGGACCCCAGGACACAGCATTGGGAACGGTGTCTGTGTGTGGGAGGGAGCCCTCAGATCTGACACTGACAGGTGGATGCAAGGTGCACTCTGACCTCCAGGGTTGAAATGTTCAAGGAGAGCTGCCTTGGCAGGCAGGAGATGGGAGGTGTGCCAGGGCCTGGCTCTGTTCTGGGGGAGTGGCGGGGTCCGTCGGCCGCTGGCGCACTCAGCTGAGTGGCAGAATCTGAGCAGAGACAGGTCTGGAGGGATCATGGCCACATAGATGCACACGGTGAGCTGGCGAGGAGGGAGGTCCAAAGGTGCAGGCAGAGCTCTGGTGCCGGGGCCAGGGAGCTGGTGGAGCCCAGTCCTGGGCGGTGTGACCCGGAAGGTGCCGCTGCCTTCTGACTGCCCGCCCCTGCTTGTCTGTGGCTGGGAGCCGGGGTGCACGTGGCCCCGTGTTGCTCCGGAACACTCTTGTGTTTGACACCAGCTGTCAGGTCTGTGTCTGATAAAACTTTGGGAGGTTTTCACAAACAGCGTGGATGCTTGCAGGAGGCTCCCTGCTGGGGGTCGGCCAAGCTGGGTGTTGAGGGCTGGGAAGGCTCCTCACTGTGGGCTCAGCGGAGTGGAACCTGCCCGAGCTGCCTCCTGTCTCGGGCTGACGTGCCGGATGGTGCAGGAGGCCGCGGCCCCCTGGGAACCTGTCACCAGGGGCTGCGTGCTGCCTCTGCCTTCTCCCTGGAGCCACGCCGGTGGGGCTTTGTGGATGCCTTAGAGGGCCGAGAGCAGCCTCTGTTCTGCAGAGGATGTGTGTGGCGCGGAGTGCTGGGGCAGCGGCGCCGGGCGGGGTGGCCAGGGAGGCGGAGTGGTCTGCTGAGTTACGCTCAGTTCCATGGACCTGGGCTGAACCTGGCGCCTCTCCTGGCCTGCGCTGGCCCTCGCCTGTGCTGCTTCGCGGCTCAGTCTCGGAGCCTCGGTTTCCTCACTGCAAAGTGAGGGGACGGCACAGGTCCAGCCCATGAGGCCTCGCCGGGGACCCCAGCTGCAGGCCAGGAGGGGACACAAGAGTGGCACAGGTGGGCGGCAGGCAGCCCAGTGGTTCTGTAATGAAAAATGCCAAGACCACCGAGTGTGGTAAAGATGGTGGGGTGCTTTCGCCTCGAGTGGTCAGGGCAGGCTTCTCCGCGGGGGTGACCGTTGCACTGAGGGCCTGAGATGAGCGGGGCCGGCATGGGGATCTGTAGGGACTGTCGAGGCAGGAATGAGGCCCCCATGGAGGCTGCGCGAGCAGAACAGAGGATGAGGGGTGAACAGGAGGCAGCGCTGGCTGCAGAGAGAATGATGGGCCATGCAGGGCCCCGCAGACACCTGTGCTCCCTGTGCGCCCTCACCGGGTTGGGAGCGTGTCACACTGGGCAGCCAGCACGGGAAGTCGCTGTGGAGAGGGGCCGGGCATTGCTGGCGCTGCGGAGGGCCCTGTGCTGACCCTGTCCTGCCCCTGTCCCTCCAGTGCACCGTCCAGGTCAAGTTGGAGCTGGGACATCGCGCCCAGCTGCGCAAGAAGCCCACCACGGAGGGGTTCACCCACGACTGGATGGTGTTTGTGCGCGGCCCTGAGCAGTGTGAGATCCAGCACTTCGTGGAGAAGGTGATCTTCCGGCTGCACGACAGCTTCCCCAAGCCCAAACGCGGTGAGTGGCCCCGCCTCGCGTGCGTCCCGGGGGCAGCAGGTGCGCGAGGTTCCCTGATGCTGACGTGCGTGGTCCTCCCAGCTCCCCTGTGAGGAGCCGCTGCTGCCGGGGACATGGCAGCCGCAGGAAAGTCTGACGTGGATGGTGTCTGTCCACCATCCTCAGACACGCCCCGAGCAGCCGTCTGCCTGTTGCTGGGGGATGGGGCGGGTGGCTGACAGTGCGGGGTCTGGGGGACCACAGGAGCTGAGCCACAGGTGAGCCAGGGCGGCCTTGGGCTGGAGCAGGAGTGCATGCTGGGACCCTGCCATGCTGGCAGTGCCCCGCAGGCGGCTCCCTGTTGAGTGGGGAGGTGGTCAGCATCCCAGACAGAGGCTTTGCCTCAGAGAGGCGTCCCCTCGGGATCCCCAGGACGCTGGTCTCTGCCGGTTTCCCCCCTCAGCCTTGGGCGCTGTGTCTTCCCCTGAATTTTCACCATCTTCCCTCCCACTTCCCATTCAGGCCTCTGGGGGGAGGGAGGGAGCGATGACACGGCCCCTGCTCACAGCAGGGGCGCGAGCTTGCCCCTGCTCACAGCAGGGGCACGAGCTGTTGGCTGGATGCGGCCTCCCAGAAGGGAGCAGCCGCAGCAGGACTGCCTGCCTGCCTGCCTGCCTCTTTCTCTCTCTCTCTCTTTCTTTCTCTTTCCCTCCCTCTCTCCCTCCCTCCCCCCTCTCTTTCTTTCTTTCTTTCTTTTTAGATTTATTTATTTATTTATTTGAAAGAGTTACACAGAGAGGAGAGGCAGAGAGAAAGAGAGGTCTTCCATCCACTGGTTCACTCCCCAATTGGCTGCCATGGCCGGAGCTGCACTGATCTGAAGCCAGGAGCTCCATCCAGGTCCCCCACGTGGGTGGAGGGGTCCAAGCACTTGGGCCATCTTCTGCTACTTTCCCAGGCCACAGCAGAGAGCTGGATCAGAAGAAGAGCAGCCGGGACTTGAACCAGCGCCCATGTGGGATGCCGGCACTGCAGGTGGCAGTTTTACCCACTACGCCACAGCACCTGCCCCTGCCTTCCCTTTTCATCCCACAGACTGCAGCTGTGGGTGGTGTCCTGCCACTGCTGCCAGGGATTTTTTTTTTTTTTTTTTTTTTGGACAGGCAAAGTGGACAGTGAGAGAGAGAGACAGAGAGAAAGGTCTTCCTTTGCCGTTGGTTCACCCTCCAATGGCTGCCGCGGCCGGCGCATCGCGCTGATCCGAAGCCAGGAGCCAGGTGCTTCTCCTGGTCTCCCATGCGGGTGCAGGGCCCAAGTACTTGGGCCATCCTCCACTGCACTCCCTGGCCACAGCAGAGAGCTGGCCTGGAAGAGGGGCAACCGGGACAGAATCCGGCGCCCCGAGCAGGACTAGAACCCGGTGTGCCGGCGCCGCAAGGCGGAGGATTAGCTTATTGAGCCACGGCGCTGGCCCGCCAGGGATGTTTCTAAAATTTTTGTTATTTATTGCAGAGACTGAGAGACAGTACTGTAGTCCACTGGTTCAGTCCCCAAATATCTTGTGAGAGGGGCAAAGCTGGGAGCTGGGACCTCAGTCCAGGTCTGTCAGGTGGACGGCCATCACTTGCACCATCACCTGCTACTTCCCACGGTCTGCATTAACAGGAAGCTGGGCTCAGTAGCTGGAGCTGGGATTTGAATTCAGCACTCTGATGTGGGTCATGAGCGTTTTAACTGCTAGGTCAAATGGTTACACCAAAGCACATCTGTGTAGATGTCCCTGGGGGTCGGCTTAACACTGCGGCAGGAGCACAGCGGCCGAGAAGAACCCACGGCTGCCTCGCGTCCCCCTCTGCCTTCTCTGGCAGCGTCTCCTCCAGTTTCTCCTCCCGTCTCCCTCACCTGTCCTTCCTCATCTCCCTGTCCACCGAGTACTGGGCTTGGCCCGGGATGGTGGTGTCCATCTGCTTTGATGGTGTTTATTTCATCTTCTGCCCACTGTCAGTGACCACATGGCTCCTGGAGGCAGTTGGCAGCCTGCACTGATCAGACTTTGCCTCTGTGCCCTGAGCTCCTGGTGACAACCTACCACCTGGGCTCTCCCAGAATCCCTGGGAGGGAGGCACAGAGCAGCCCAGTTGCCCGCTCAAGCGCGCATGCAGGTGCACGCCGTCCAAGTTCCAAGTCCCTGGGAAATGGGCTCGCGGTCCTGCCGCGCCCATCTGCCGGCAGTGAGCCTGCCCAGGCAGCGGAGCAAGCCCCTGCTCCCCGTTGCAGCCAGTGAAACTCTGCAGGCCCCTTGCCTGTGGTCAGCGAGAAGGCCCTCTGCCAGTGAGAGAGCCGCGGATGGCTGGGAACCCCCTCTGCCAGTGAGAGAGCTGTGGATGGCTGGGAACCCCCTCTGCCAGTGAGAGAGCTGTGGATGGCTGGGAACCCCCTCTCCCAGTGAGAGAGCGCAGATGGCTGGGAACCCCCTCTGCCAGTGAGAGAGCTGTGGATGGCTGGGAACCCCCTCTCCCAGTGAGAGAGCGCAGATGGCTGGGAACCCCCTCTGCCAGTGAGAGAGCTGTGGATGGCTGGGAACCCCCTCTCCCAGTGAGAGAGCTGTGGATGGCTGGGAACCCCCTCTGCCAGTGAGAGAGCTGTGGATGGCTGGGAACCCCCTCTCCCAGTGAGAGAGCGCAGATGGCTGGGAACCCCCTCTGCCAGTGAGAGCCGCGGATGGCTGGGAACCCCCTCTGCCAGTGAGAGCCGCGGATGGCTGGGAACCCCCTCTGCCAGTGAGAGCCGCGGATGGCTGGGAACCCCCTCTGCCAGTGAGAGCTGTGGATGGCTGGGAACCCCCTCTGCCAGTGAGAGAGCCGCGGATGGCTGGGAACCCCCTCTGCCAGTGAGAGCCGTGGATGGCTGGGAACCCCCTCTGCCAGTGAGAGCCGCGGATGGCTGGGAACCCCCTCTGCCAGTGAGAGAGCTGTGGATGGCTGGGAACCCCCTCTCCCAGTGAGAGAGCGCAGATGGCTGGGAACCCCCTCTGCCAGTGAGAGCCGCGGATGGCTGGGAACCCCCTCTGCCAGTGAGAGCCGCGGATGGCTGGGAACCCTCTCTGCCAGTGAGAGCCGCGGATGGCTGGGAACCCCCTCTGCCAGTGAGAGCTGTGGATGGCTGGGAACCCCCTCTGCCAGTGAGAGAGCCGCGGATGGCTGGGAACCCCCTCTGCCAGTGAGAGCCGCGGATGGCTGGGAACCCCCTCTGCCAGTGAGAGCCGCGGATGGCTGGGAACCCCCTCTCCCAGTGAGAGAGCCACAGATGGCTGGGAACCCCCTCTGCCAGTGAGAGCCGCGGATGGCTGGGAACCCCCTCTCCCAGTGAGAGCCGCGGATGGCTGGGAACCCCCTCTGCCAGTGAGAGCCGCGGATGGCTGGGAACCCCCTCTCCCAGTGAGAGCCACGGATGGCTGGGAACCCCCTCTCCCAGTGAGAGCCGCGGATGGCTGGGAACCCCCTCTCCCAGTGAGAGCCGCGGATGGCTGGGAACCCCCTCTGCCAGTGAGAGCCGCGGATGGCTGGGAACCCCCTCTGCCAGTGAGAGCCACGGATGGCTGGGAACCCCCTCTGCTAGTGAGAGAGCCGCGGATGGCTGGGAACCCCCTCTCCCAGTGAGAGCCGCGGATGGCTGGGAACCCCCTCTGCCAGTGAGAGCCGCGGATGGCTGGGAACCCCCTCTGCCAGTGAGAGCCGCGGATGGCTGGGAACCCCCTCTGCCAGTGAGAGCCGCGGATGGCTGGGAACCCCCTCTGCCAGTGAGAGCCGCGGATGGCTGGGAACCCCCTCTGCTAGTGAGAGAGCCGCGGATGGCTGGGAACCCCCTCTCCCAGTGAGAGCCGCGGATGGCTGGGAACCCCCTCTGCCAGTGAGAGCCGCGGATGGCTGGGAACCCCCTCTGCCAGTGAGAGCCGCGGATGGCTGGGAACCCCCTCTGCCAGTGAGAGCCGCGGATGGCTGGGAACCCCCTCTGCCAGTGAGAGCCGCGGATGGCTGGGAACCCCCTCTGCCAGTGAGAGCCGCGGATGGCTGGGAACCCCCTCTGCCAGTGAGAGCCGCGGATGGCTGGGAACCCCCTCTGCCAGTGAGAGCCGCGGATGGCTGGGAACCCCCTCTGCCAGTGAGAGCCGCGGATGGCTGGGAACCCCCTCTGCCAGTGAGAGAGCCGTGGATGGCTGGGAACCCCTTCTGCCAGTGAGAGAGCTGTGGATGGCTGGGAACCCCCTCTGCCAGTGAGAGCCGTGGATGGCTGGGAACCCCCTCTCCCAGTGAGAGCCGCGGATGGCTGGGAACCCCCTCTGCCAGTGAGAGAGCTGTGGATGGCTGGGAACCCCCTCTGCCAGTGAGAGAGCCGCGGATGGCTGGGAACGCCCTCTCCCTGGGTGGCTGGGACTGCAGCCCCCCGAAAGGATACTTTCCTTGGAGCAGATACACATTGTAACAGATTAAAGAGCCAGTAGTGCAGTGCTGCAGAAGCAGCTCTTGATAGAATATACCTGCCTTGTAACATGAAAGAGACACAAAGATACAGAAGAATCTTCTACTTCCAATGTGTACACATTGTATCAAATCTAAGAGGCAGTACTTTGCCTACTTAAAAAGTGTCTTTGACTTCAAATATGCACACATTGTAACAAATCAAAGCCTGGTTCCCTCCTTATGAAAAGTATCTCTTAGGGCAGATGTTCGCACACTGTAACAAACGGAAGAACACTGTCCAGCTCCAAACTGCTCTCCCCTCTCCTGGCCAGTTGTCTCCCCTGGGCGCTCTTCCCAGGCCTTTCTGCAGTGTGTGGCCTACGGCAGCTGATCTCTTTCCTACTTCTTGTTTTTTCAGATGTGAACAGTGTGTATCAGGTTAGGATTTATCTCAGACTGTCCCCTCTGCCCCCCTGCCCCTCCACAGTATAGTTGGCTGGTTTTCTCTTGCATTGTCCCTGTGGCTGTGATGAGGTGAGCCCCGTCCCTCTGGGGTCCCCC